TCAAAACTTTCACAGTAGAACCTTGAAAGCCTACTCGCCAGACATATAAAATCAATGTGGTACCGCCCCTTTGAGTTACTGTTGTGGAAATGAAGTAGTTGCTTGTCTTCTAATCAGATCATTTCCTATCGAAAGCAAAATGCAATGAGATCATGAAGCAACATAAAGTAAACTGCATAAAATTGCTTTTGTTTGTTTGCTTGTTTTTAGTTCAGAGCAGGTAAAAGGTTTTTTTTCCTTTCTGACTGCAGACTATATGCAAGTACCAAAATCACAAGTGCTTCAGGGAGTACAAAAACCAAACTGTACTCAGTGTGGCTGGTTAGAAAGGAAAAGCTGAGTAGTCACACATTTGGTTTGTTTTTTTTCTTTTGCTTGGTTGTTTGGTGGGTTGTTTTTTTTTTTTCTTAATATGTCTCCAAGCAATCTCATGACCACAGTATTATGGTTTGGTTTTGAAGCAGGAGCTTGGATTAATTCAGTTTCGGTGTTGTCAAATTTAGTGCCAGTGTAAGGAATTTCAGTATCGTGTCAAGGAAGGCAGACTCTGACTTTTAATTTGTGCAGTAGGTCTGACATAAGCTGTCTTGGCGTTATAAATGATCAGTTGTAATCAGTCGTGGTGTCATTCAGCGAATCAATAGAAGTTTGCATTAATGGTGTTTAAATGTCCATCAGGCATAAATAGTCTTGCTGTCACTGAGTAGACAGATTTGTCTGCCCACTCTAAATCTTACCTTTTGCATTTACCCGTGGTACACTTGCAAAAAGTTATTTCCTTTATGATATTTTTATTTTTGGTCTCTGTTTTGGAAAACTGCGAAACCCTTTTTGCTGATACATCTGGTACTTTGAGTGCTTAAAAACAGCTCAATTGATTACTTTTGATTTAAAAACTTCTCAGAAGGAAATTGCATAACAAGACTGGGAGCTCAAATATGTGAGTTTTGGCAAAGAGCTGCGGAAGACAGACCTGGCTGTGTAGCAACCTCACAAGAAAAGAACTTGACATTTTGAAAAATTTTTATTGATCGGTGTGGATGGGGAACAGGAAGTCAAATCACTCTCACAGGCAAGCTGCAGTCTCTTCCTTGCTGACCTTTAAATGCCACTTAGTGTCATCAGAAAATCAAGGAAATGCTAATAACAGGGCTTTGGGTAAGAGAGTTACATATGAGGGATATCTTTTGAAAACAAACAGAAGCTGACTTCCATTTTTGTGCACATCTATTTTTGTAAAATGGAATTCTCACAGCAGTACAGTTGTATTTTTACTAGATTAATCTTGCATTATTTCATGAATAGTCAAACTTTCAGAAGTATCCATAATATAGCAGGGCTTCTCTTCATCCTTGAAAAGGGAGTAGTTTGCAACAGACATTTAATAACTTAATTCTTGGAACAGAGATTGACCTCTGCTTCAGGCTCTTATTCTGGCTTCTGTTGAGTCCAGAGGGCTATGGACTTTGGTAGTCTTGTAGAAAGTTGATTTCTCGGTGTATTTTGAACATGGGACGGGTATGCCTAAGTCACCAGGTTACTCTTAGCCTTCACACTCCTGTATTTTTAACAGCCCTTCCAAAAAGTCTTTGAAAGCTAAATTTCAACTAGAAGAATTAGTACGAAAAAAATCTGTTAAACTTGATTAAACTGTTTAACACTGAAGAAAGCATCTGGTACGTTAGAAAAAAAGGAAGTTACTTAGATTTCAGAAGTTTAATGAGAGGGAAAACACTAGCTGGCAAGTATAACATGGAACAGTGGATCCATGGAACCTGATGGCACCATATGTAGGTGTGTCTTGCTTCCTTCCAACATCTACTACATGGAACTGAAATGGACTTTAGTCCATGGTTGTGGTTCAGCACATGTTCACAACCCTTGCTCAACTGGATATCTTTTTTCTTGCTAGTTTGCATTACTTAATTGTTGTCTGAATGTCTGAACTGCTAGCAAAGTGATCTAAAACTAGTGGTCTACCAAAGGCTGTGATTTTACAAGTTGGAAGACATTTTTAAAAACTCTTTATATAATTCATTGCCATGAATTTTCTTTTTCTGACATGATTTGTCTTTACCCCCACCCTTTTTTTCCTTTTTTTCAATGTAGTTACAAAACACATGGATTGTAGGAACTGATTTTGATTCTGAGTAGAACTTTCATGCTAACCTGTTTGTCAACTGAAACAGAGGATAAGGGCTGAATTTTTTAGCCAGCGACGTTGGCTGCAATACTTGAGATTGGCTTTCCTCTCACTTCCTCTGCTGTAATTTGAGTCATTCCCCTGAAATCGATCCACCGGTAGCAAATTAAAACAAGAAATGAGAGATGGTTTGGGTAAATGGCACGTGCGTATCAGGTCCCTGCAAGTTCGCTTAATTAATGCCGCATGCACTTATTACTTGCCTTGCTAAACCAAACCTCCAAATTCCAGTGATTTGGAAAGAAGCTGCACTGTATCTAACACAACCTAAAATATAAAAGCTGGGTAAGGCGTTGTCTCTCTAGATTAGGTTTACAAGGAAAGACGAGTGACGCCAAAAACACTTTTGTCAGTGATTTGTGTCCAGCGTTTTTTATGTCTCTTAAAGCTAATGAGAAGGACTAACATACGCGGGAGAGCTTGAAGGTCTGCCTCCAGTTAGACAAAGCTCTCCCTGCTGAATGATGGGGCTTTCAAAACCGCTTTGAAGTTGTCCTCATTCCATTCCCCTGGAAGCCGTAGCGAGTTTTATTTTAGGGGAAAAGTCTTAACATGAGCATTCTTGAAATGCTCACTCAGTAAATAATGGGCTTGATGTAAAGGTTGGACTTGGAAAACAAAACAGATTAAATTCCAAGGCTTTTATTTTTTTTCTTTCATTACAGTCTTTTTATTATCAACTATTTATAGTGTCATGTAAGCATTACTTTTTTTCCTTGTATCTTCTCTTAAGAAATCCAGGCTTTTTAGACAAAAAAAACAGCTTTACAAGCTTTAGTTGTTCTTTACCATGTTCCTTCACAGTGATCTGTTGCCTGGAAAAGGATTCTGATAGCTCTTCAGCCACAAGACCTTGAGGTAGAATTGATTAGGATATTCATTTAAAACTGGATGCATCCTATCTGCTTACCTGTACCCTGTATTGGTAATGCTGAGAGGGAAGTCTTAGTGGCTTTTTATTATTTGTATGCATCTTTAAATCTCTTAACAAAATTTCTCAACCTTTCTATCCAGCAAGAAAAATCAAAGAAATAAAACAGTCACAAAAGCATCCCTCTAGAATACATTTCAAAATTATTTCGTTCGGTCATTTCAGGTGTGCGAGAAGTGAAGACTACTTTGTATTTCACCCTTTAGGAGTTTCTTTAGGAGTAAACAAACTTGGTTTCTTTAGGAGTAAACAAACTTTAGGAGTAAACAAACTTTATTTGATAGAATCAGGTACAGTACACACTGAGAATGACTTAAAACTTGCAGGTTACAGATGAGATCATCACTTTTTCCACTGCCCAAGATACAGTGCCAAGAAAAGAGTATATTTCTTGGTAAGATTAGGCCTAAATTTTTAAACCCCACCTTCCACTTTGAGCTTTTTCCTTTATTTGCTAGAAAGGTGAAGAAGCTATTGATGGTCTTCAGTTCAGAAAAGTTGGTGATGAAAAAGATGTGGCAAATACAACCTTCATCCCTCGGTAAAGCTCCAGTCAGAGGAGACCAGTGGCATTCCCTATTTGTGCCAGGTGCATTCCCAGATGAGGTCTGCTGTGCAGTGTGCAACGTGACAGATAACGAAAGCGTCCAGCTGATAGTTCTAAGTCAGTGACAGTTGTCATGTGTGTAGTGAATGCAGGACAAGGCACAAATCAGTTTGCTCTCTGCATTTAGCATTTTTCAGTTGTTGCAGGAATATATGGAACACTGAACTTTACCAAGCAGTCAGGAACCTGCATTACATACCTCTTTCTGCATTGCTATATTTTTTTAATCTCTTTAGGCTTCATCAGTGCTTCCTCAACAATCCTAAAATTAAATAATTGTCTTTTTCAGCTTGCTGCCCCATGTTTTTAATGTTTAGCTAAGATTGCTCTTGGCACTTGTGGAAAGGCATTATGTCATGTCACAAGTTGAATTCGCTGCAAGTTACACTCCTACAGAAACCCAGACACCTACTACAATGATGAAACAGCCATACAGTTGAGGCAAAGCATTTTCCAGCACTTTCCAGGTTGGAGGAATTAGGTTCGAAGAACTACCTCTTTTATTTGGAAAGTGATTGGATTTGTGGTGACCTTGGGTTTACTGTCAGCATGTATTCTCTGGTCTTGGACAATTCTGCCTGAGAGCTTTATGTCCTCAGTGGGTGAGTGTTGCAAGTGCGGTAGCATGTTCTGTTGTGGTAAGTACAGCATTATCAACCGTGGTCATCGCCCTGCACTTCCAGAATTTGGATCCTGCTCCAGCTCGTGGTGGATTGGTATCAGTGGTGATTTCACAGAAGCCATTCCTGAGAAGTGACCGTCTCATAACTTAATTAAAAAGTAAAATCTTCAATTTAATATGGAAACTTCTCTTAATTAAGAATAGTAAAAGGTGACTCACAGGTTTTGAGGGAAAAGTATTTGCAAGATCTTTATTAGCAGATTCAAAAATTTACGTGTCAAAACTAAACTAAACCCGCACAGTTTCAAGCTATCACGTTTCCTAGTCTGTCCTATTTGTAGATTTACTACTATATGACTGCATATATTTCTGTTTGTGTATTAATTTAAAAATGTATTAAGGCCTCGTTCTGCTCATCGTGCCTCCTGAGTTATTAATATTGCCTGTAAGCTTTGTTCCAGTTGACCTTTAGAAGTCTCCAAAAGTTACAGTTTGCAATTCAGCAATTTTGGCAGAGGAAGATACATGATTATTCATATCATTGTTGAAATGGTAACCAGATGTGTATTGTTTTTCTTCTTTCTTTCCTATTGTTTTTAAAAAGTGATGCTAATCCAAGATGTTGATCCATTTGCAGGGTTTTTCCACAGCACCAAATTCCCCTTCGGTGAATTCTCGTTCCGGTAGCCTGGGTCCCTCACTATCCCTTGGAAACATCTCAGGAATGACAGCAAACCCAGAAGTGAAAAAGCGCAGAGCACCTCCTCCACCAGTTTCGACACCTGCGTTGCAGCACATGGAGATGAGCGGACAAGAAAAGCCAGCACCACGGGTAAGTGGGAGCATGGAATGGGCTGCCCTGCTTCATGGGCTGGCTGCCATCACTTCGCTCATCAGAGCTAGGGTCACTGACAGATATTTTGGCCAGCCATTAACTGCAGATCAACTCTTGATCTTACAAAATAAAACAATCAAACGTCTTGCAGTTGCGTACATATTTACTGAACTTTCTTGAGACTGCTCCTAGCTTTCTACCATTAACGAGTCTTTCAGCATCAGAAGGATTTTGTGAAGTGTTATGCTAATAGAAGGAGGCTGAATAAAGAATAAGGCAGAAAAGATGGAAATTTTATAGCGGGAGTAGGTATCCTTATTGGTGCACGCAGTCCTGGAAAATGGGTGACAGTTCTAATCACTGACAGAAGTCTTCAGGGTGCTGTTTTGCCCAGATACTTGTCAGGCTGTTGCCTACATACCTTTTTCCAGTGCTGCTGTAGGATACCAGAAGATCTGCTCTGCTTTCTGAATTGTGCCATGTGACCTTTTAAAGCAGTGCTCTGGTTTTGCTTTTAAAAAAGGTCACTGTTCCGCAGTACAGCTATCAAGAATTCAACAAAAATATGGGGAAACCTTTCTGAGAACCTAACCCTTTGAAAAGAATAGAGCTAAGGGAAAAGGAAATTGTTCTTGTTTTGATAGTGACATTCAGGTACGTATGTTGCAAAACATGCGCAAGCACATTATGACTTCTGGTTCCACCGCCAACAAGCAGTACTGCATTCTGAATGTAAACTGTACAAGTCACTGTGTAAAGCTGTGTATGGCTGCCAAATAATGCAAGGAACCGATACCTTCAAGGTTCTGTAATGTGGACTGACTCTGTCTGCTTAGGGTTTGTCACCTTTAGAATAGACTGATCTCTAGAAAGCAAACTGTGGTACAAAACAGAGTCAGGAAGGAATCTTAGAGTTCAGTGTAGTGGAGGACAAGGAGTCTAGTGCTTAGCCTCACTCGCTGTCACTCTTGTATTTATCTGCAGTAAGGCATACATTAAGTGCCTTCTCCAGTGCAGCATAGAATCACAGAATGGTTTGGGTTGGAAGGGACCTTAAAGATCATCCAGTTCCCACTCCCCTGCCATGGGCAGGGACACCTTCCACTAGACCAGGTTGCTCAAAGCCTCATCCAGCCTGGCCTTGAACAGTTCCAGGGGGGGGGCATCCACAGCTTCTTTGGGCGACCTGTTCCAGTGCCTCACCACCCTCTCCGGGAAGAACTTCTTCCTGATCTCTAATCTAAACCTCCCCGCTTTCAATTTAAACCCGTTACTCCTTGTCCTGTCACTACAGGCCCATGTAAACAGTCCCCCCCCAGCTTCCTTGTAGCCCCTTCAGGTACTGGAAGGCTGCAATGAGGTCTCCCCGGCGCCTTCTCTTCTCCAGGCTGAACAAGCCGGACTCTCTCAGCCTTTCATCTTAGGAGAGGTGCTCCAGCCCTCTGAGCATCTTCGTGGCCTCCTCTGGACATTCTGTAAGCAAAGATGATAACACGCTTTCAGTAAAGGATTGTGGAATCTTACTTTCCCATTCTTAGGATATCTAGAAGTGTGATTGCTGGAATGTAGGGGCACTTCATCTTTCACAATTGGAATACATGCCTTTGAAATCACAATCATTTGTAGACATGGCTGAAGCGAAAGAATATTTTCTTGCAACATTTGGTGCACTTCCTTCTTAAAAATTTTCTTTCGAAATTCCTACTGTAAATATTTTGATGAGGTTTCTTGTGTCCCCCAGAGTTAAACATTCGATGTGTTTAAGATAAATAGATTTTTTCATGCAAAAAGACTATGGCATTATAATTCTTGAGTTTATACAAGTGTGGTAATCAGAGACTGTTATTCTGCCTTTCTCTTAGGCTTATCTCCATGCAGTGTGGCGTTGAGATTTTAAATTGTGTTGCACAAAAAACCTGAAAACCTAAACTCTCTTTAAACATGTTAACATTTCTAATTTCAGCATCATTGCAAATGGATTAAAGTGCTGGCTTTCTGAAGCCACTGAGAGAAAAGCATGTATTTTATTTAGTGCAGGTAGCATACAGTACAGTGTCAACTTCAAATTCTCTTAGTGTAAAGGAAAAGCTATTTTGAAGGAGGGAAACAGAGGAATGTTGCATCAGAGGATTTTCCATGACAAAATAAATATTGGGCAACAGAAATGTCCGGAGTAGCTGACAGAGCCAATGAAGAGCACAGTAAATTATGAGCACAGTTGCCAGAGTCTGTTTGGCTTCATTTGCTGGGTAAAGGACATCTTTCTGAAAATGTTTGGATATGTCCAAACACTAAACACTTACGGCGTGCTTCTGAAGCTCCCAGGCTGAAAGTTGCTCGCAGGCTGCTGCGTAGTTCAGACAAGAATGCAGGGAGTGCAGTTGAAATGAAGCACAAGTTCCATGAAGCAATCAAAAACTGAGGGAAGAGATTAATTGTTCAGTATTATGTGGCAAGGTAGCAACAGGGATATTGTTTATAAGAAAACACAAACAGGTCTATTTTATCTACGTGCAGACTATCCAGTTTGCTGTGAAAATAGAGTATAAAATCTCAGGGTGTAAGTTTATTTCTTTAGTTTATGGGAAAGAATTAGCACTGATTTTTTTTTTTTTTTCTTTCAGGGAAGGACGTCAATTCCTTATTAATGGACTTCCTTCCATAAAAAGATAAGATGTTTGTTTAGAAAACCTTATTTATGTGCAACTGTTACTAACAGGAAGATCCTGCAAAAGGGGAACATGTTTATTTCTAGTAGCACATTAATAGAAAATGGAAAAGGTGGTATTCTGAACTTTTAGAGTTGGTTTTATTTTTTTCTTTTTTAACTATCTGGTTGTGTAGAAAAGCACATACTGCAGCTGTTGTGAATACCTATAGTTTGAACTTTCCAACCCAGTAAGCCTGTTATTTTTAACCCATTGTTAAGCTCCAGGGCATTCCATTTTCTTTTCAGCATAGATAATGCTTTAGGGATATATATCTCATCTGCCTGCCTAGTGGTTACCATCAAGAATTTCCATGTGTATGAAGATTGGTGTGTTTTAATTTACGTTTTAGGTTTTCTCCACTTGCTTTTCTGGGTGGGTGGATTACTGCAGTATAATCTTACCATACTGCAGCTTTTGTTTCTGTGGGGTTTACAGTCATTTACCTCCTTCGGGGTAAGGCCCCTGCAGTAACTTTAATTACTTTTTAGTGCAACCTCATTCATTTTTCATGTCTGTTTAGAAGTAGTGTTCCTTCTGTAACTGTTCTAAATATCCTCTAGAAAATACTCATTTCTGCTGAGAGCACATGTCTCAGAGCGTGCTGAACATGCACTGAGTAGTTTGTAAAGGAACACAGAGTCAAAGAAAGGAGATTTCTTCTCTGGAGACTTCCCCTTCTTTTTTCTCAAACATCTCCCAAGCGATGCTATTGAGAACAATGACAAGTCACTTGAAAAAAATATTCTTCAAGAGGTGAAGGTATGGTAACATTTTGGGTATGAAATCCAGAAAGTTGGATGCTTTAGAAGCAAGGAGGTCCCCTCCTTTCTTAAATTGGAACACAGAGCCCACACCATCCGGAGAGTAGAGCAGAACAGTGTAGAGGGTGAGGAAAAACTGAACCCCGTTGCAAACCATGTCTGTTCTCTGTCACAGCACTTCAGATGATGTGCTAGCAGAATATGGGGCCACCTTATGGTAGGTGTAGTGCAAACTGAGTTTCCACCCCAAAAAGCATGCACCATATTGACAAAATATATGAGAAAACTATGAGTATTTAGATAGAGCAAACAGAGAAAAGTCATGTGCAGTCTGACAGAACAAAACGCACCTCCTCAGAGGCTTATTCATTGACCTCTCTTAAAAAGAAATGTGTTTAAGTCATTTCTTGGAAGAACTGTAGAATTGAGTATTTGAGTCTTTTGGAGGTCATGAGTATTGTGCATTGGTGAATTAGTTTATGGGGATCATTACCTTTTTTTTTTTTTTAGTGTGTATGGGGAAGTACGGAAATTGGGGTGAGGGTGGATGATAAAGAAAGCTCAGGGGCTTTCTGTAAGATCCTTTTCTACAAAGTCAAGTGGTTTATTCAGGATAAAATCATGACGCTTTTTGGAGACATCAGAATTAGAAGAGGACTTTTCAGTGCCTTCATCTGTATAACAGCCCTGCTGACAACTCCAGAAGCCAGAAATGTGACTTGTAGGCTGTGGTAAAGGAGCCATGTGCTGTTTCAGCTGCTGTGATTTTCAGCACAGAAACACTTTCATATAGTATGTAGATGTAACAGGAGACATTTGGGATTTGTTACTAGCTAGTCAAATCTCTCTACTAGTAAAAGAATGAGGCAATATAACAAATACAACATTTAACATTTGTTTCATAGATTGTAATCTTAGATGTAATACTGCAAGACAGTGGGTTTAAATAAATATTGTATCGTGGCTTTGAGCGCATTTGAGGCACTGGCCTCACTTTCAGAAGGTACCATTATAAGCAAAAACAATTTTCAGATTTATTTCCATGTTTATGTAGTTTCCTGGAGGTTGCTGTAGACAAACTAACGTATGTGACATACCGTGGGGTTTGTCCAGCTTCTTGTGTTCTTCTCCTCTCCATTTAGTTCTCAAACTTGGATTGTTGAGGACCGTTGCTGACTCCTTATTTCTGGTCAAGGCCATACCTTTAAAGCAGACTGCTTGCCCCTAGTGTTTTATCAGGGCTGATGTTTTTTCTCCAAGAATAACTTACTAATTCAAAAGGCTTAGTCACATGAATAAGAAGGAATATTGCAGCCAAAGCGAGTCAGAGTCTTGCTCGGATCGTTGCTGACATGTTTCTTTCTCTCTACATCCAGTTTATTTTTGACCAATGTTATGCCTAAATGAGAAGTTCAGCTTTAAGAGAATCATTTTAACATGAACAAATACAAATGAGACTTTCATTAATCTTCCCTGGAGAAAGTAAGGTACTCACATTAAAAATTTGCAAAATTTCTAGCTTCTA